TACTTTTCCCAACTCTCCTCAGACGCCTCACTCAGGTACTGCTTGAAGACTTCTCTACGTTCCCCTATTTCTTCTTTCAGCTCGTCATCCCACCACTTAACCGATACCCCACATCGTACCACCTTCCTTCCCACTACTCTCTCTGCCGTTGCGTTCACGATGGACTCCCACCCTTCAATCACCCTGTCCCCTGCTGTCTGTACGTCTACCTGTCCGTCTTCGACGCTTCTCAACAGTTTCCTGAAGGATTCTACACTACCAGCCAGCCCCTTCTGGAATTCATCCCGTGTCCCATCGTCTCCCAAACGCTCTACCTTCCATCGGAACACTTTCCTCTGTTTCTTACTCTTGATCTTTCTGGATCGGTGCAGCGTTGGGGGGGGGGGAATTGGCTAAAAGAAATTCAATCCGCTACGTATCGCGCCACTCGGTCCGTCCCTTCTCGTTTGCGTTCTTCCCTCGCCGTCTTGTCCGTCTCCTGCCCCCCTCCCACCCCATTGGTTGTTGGCTTGTGGTTTCGTTTGAGCGCCCGTAGTAGGACTTTGCGGTGTTCATGTCAGCAACACTGCTGACGTTGGTTTCAATTTTCAAACGTACGAATCCATCATTCAAATTCCCGGTCCCTTTTGTGCTCCACCACTCACGTGTAGCTCCAACCCGGAGCGGAGACGAACGCCTGTACATTGGTCTTGAGGAAGTTCAGCAGGATAAGGCGGAGGATGAGCGTGGCGGTGCGGCATGGCATGCTCGAGCCGCGGACGACGAGAGAGATGGTATACTACGTAGATTTCGCAGATGATGATGATGAAGGAGGTCTGTAGCAGGATTTCGAATCAGCTCTGCGATGCGGAACCACTACACACACGTGGTTTCTGAGGCAGCTCGTCCCCCGCGTCTTCGCCCGCCAAGGGTTGGTCAGGTTGTTTTGTACACTATCTACCTGCCGGCCGCTGGGGCGTTGCCTTGCACAACGAAGACGACAGACAGACAGACCAACAGCAAGACCCAAACCACGAAAAAGCTACAACGGGGGCTCTGCAGCTGGAAATCCTTTGGGGGGGTCGCATGCACACAAGATTGCAACGGCGTGCTGAGAGGGGAAAAAAAAAAAGCGGAAGATCGCACTGGCAGACACGCTGTTACCGCACACACTTCGTGGCGTGGCATCTGGGATAGCCGAGAGCGGACCGAGACAGCGACGGGGGGGCAGAGAGGTGCAAGGTGCAGGATTCGATCGAAGAAGACTTGTGGCTCCAGAACTACTGCTGTACATGCCTCTTCCGCAACAACTTGCCGGAAGAAGAGCAGACGTTGGACTGAAGACCCAGATCGCGTCATGAAGATACGCGCAGGAAAGCAAGCAACAGGAGGGAATGATGGTATTGCGTTGGGCTATAGGCATGGTGTGTTGGGTGCACTTGTCTTAGTTGTGTATATATACACCGTGATGCCTTCGGTACCGGGTGGAGACGCTGGAGAGCTGCTTGCTTCGGGATGCCAACTGGGGACGCCACATCCGCCTGGTGAGAATGATGATGCCAACCTCACCGCAATAACCTTGACTTGAACATGCCTGCATAAACGATTTCAACTTTTGCCGTGCTCGCTTTCTCGTAGAAAATCAACTGCTGCATGTGGTGTCAGTGGCGCACAACAATCCACTACTGCTGTAGATCGCTTTGTGCGAGAGCCCGACGTCTCTACATACACACAGTAGTTCATCGAGGCAGCAAGCTTGGAGACGATTGTTGTGGACTTGTGGATCGCGCACTAAGAACAGGTTGTTAACGTGTTCGCTCTTATTGACCACCGCGCGGCAGGTTACCCCCTCCTCGGCACCATTTATTTCTTTCTCAGCAGGCTACCTCTCCCGTCGATAGCACCGCCAACGGCCTGCGCTGACAATATCCCTGGCACCGTCGCTTTGGCGGCGAACATTCTCTCTGGCGTCTTTGGGTCAATAGCGGCCGTCCTTGTCCATCTGACGATCGAGGAGTGGACCCATTCCTCCATGCAGGCTTACAACTCGGGGGCGGCTGCCGCCGCTGCCCTGCTGTTCAGCTTCAGCCCTCTTGCATGGGAGTACAACACCGGCTCCGAGGTGTTCGCCCTCAACAACGTGCTGGTGGCGGTGGCGCTGTATGTTACTGCACGGATCGTGACTCGGCCGAGTATGACCTTGGCGAGGATGGGCGCAGTGGTGAGAGGACAACATCATCTGTAGCGAATCCACGGTATACAAACGTCGGTCTCAAAACACACGATGGGAGAACCAGGAACTCATTTTGGGCTTTGCCTCCCCTTGGTCTTGTGGGTCGGCGAGCCGTCTCGTAGAATTCACGCTTTTTGTCGACCTTGTTGTAGGCGTAATGATGTGTATATGCATACCGACAGATACGGCGTTGGGGTATCCGTATCAGATGCGGCTTACCGGGCAAATGTGGGGAACACGCTTTGGTTGGTTATGATTCCTTTGTGTACGCCGTCAACGGGAGACGTGGCGCCGTGTCCGCCCGGTCATCTCGAATGCAGGTTTGCGGCCTGGCACTTTGCAATCAGCACGCTTCCATTCTCGTGCTGGGGCCCTTGGCCGTCTCCGTTTTGAAGGCCCTCATGGGAGAGTCGCTGCTGTCCTGTCGGTCGCTAGCCGAGCTGGGAGGACTATGGTTTCCCCTCGGGCTGTCTCCCCACGCAGCCCTGGTCGTGTCTTCTCGAAATCCACAGCAAGGTTCTTGGGGGGATCTATCCTCGACAGCGGGCTTCCTTCGGCACATTCTTCGCTCTGAGTATGGCACGCTCAATCTTGGAATTCCCGTCCCAAATGCTGAAGGCGCGGTAGAACGGATCGGAGAGTACCTTATGGACAGTAGCAGCCAGACGATGCATGTAGGACCACCAATGGCAGCACTTGGAGTCGGGTGGGCGCTGGTCGTAGCTCACACGGGTGCGTATTCCGATAAACACCGGCAACATTCACGGAGGGTTCGCCACTTCGGTCTGGGATTGGCGACGGCGTGGGCATTCTACGTCACCATCTGGCACTGCATTTTTTCAAACATTTCGCTACATCGTCCAATGAGCAGAGCGGTGCATGCAAGGTTTTGGATACAGCCGAATCTGCTGCTCTGCGTCGCGGCGGGTTGTGGGTTGGGTCTGGTAGCAAATACCATCGCTGCTAACCTTTGGCGTGTTTGTCCATCTAGCTGTCGGCTTGGTAAACGTTTCGCCGGGGCACGTGTATCCCTCCTGATGCCGACGGTGATATCGACGACGATGTGTTGGCAACGTTGGAACTCAATGGACAGAGGTGCTTGGATTGGAGGGTCGCACGGCTGGACGATGCATCTCTATGGCCAGGTGAACGCTCACGCCCGTGCTTCAAATCTCATGAGTACTACACGTAGCGAGCGGGCTGTACAACATCCTTTCTTCCCGTCAATGCTTAGGCTTCGCTTTGGACCTCTACATACGGTCTAACTGTACGATGTGTTTCTCTCGTAAATGGCATGCCAAAATTGATTCATCACCTTGTTTGACTTGTTTTTTCCGCACGGCTGTCCTAAAAGGCCCTCCTATCGACCCTTCCGCAACGGGCCTTGCTTCTATCCCATACGGATCTCGACCTCAACGCAGCGCGGTATCTCCGAGGTGCGTAAAGCACTTGCCGATAACGGTTGCAGTATTTTCATACTATTGTAGCTGATCCTGCACCGCTCTGTGACAGTAAGTTGAGAGGTCCGACCAGCTAATCATTGGTAGAACAGCGCAGGGGCAGTGGAAACGCACGCAGTACAGATGTTGAAACGATATGAAAGAAGAAAAGGGGACGATGGAAAAAGAGATACACCTGGTAAGCCGTTTTGAAATCCTACTATCCATGGAAAAATCGGTCCATTCTGGCGAGGCTTGAACCATCAGGACATAGTCGCGATTTCTCTTATCATGAAAATCGGTCAACCTCTGAGGTGGATGACGTTTATCCCTGCCGACACCAATAGCCTCAGCGTGTTGCAGCTGTTTGGTGTCATTTTCGCTACGAAGAGTCGATTGAAAGCTGACTATCCGGCCGATTTCGCCAGGAGCAAGAAAGCAAGAAGATAGAGTCGTCCAAGAAATCTCGTACTTGAAATGCGGTTTATGTCTTAAATTCGTGGCTGACGCGAGACTTTTCGGCGACTCGGGAAGGAGTCTCTCTCTTCTTGCTTTCTTGCTTTTTGGCGAAATCGGCGGGATGGCCAGCCTTCAATCGACTCGTCACAACGATATTGACAACCAGCCAGCTGCAACACGACGGGACTGTTGGTATCGGCAGGAATGAACGTCATCCACCACAGAGGTTGCCCAAATCGCATGATAAGATACATCATGTTTCGAGGTGGAGACCACCTAACACCGACACAGTCATCACCGCAAGCGGAAACAATCAAACCTAAACTTGCTGATGGATGTGTAAAGTAGTGCAAGCTGGCCCATGAGATGATTTCTCGCTCCTTTTTGGCGAAATCGGCGGGATGGCCAGCCTTCAATCGACTCGTCACAACGATATTGACAACCAGCCAGCTGCAACACGACGGGACTGTTGGTATCGGCAGGAATGAACGTCATCCACCACAGAGGTTGCCCAAATCGCATGATAAGATACATCATGTTTCGAGGTGGAGACCACCTAACACCGACACAGTCATCACCGCAAGCGGAAACAATCAAACCTAAACTTGCTGATGGATGTGTAAAGTAGTGCAAGCTGGCCCATGAGATGATTTCTCGCTCCTTTTTGGCGAAATCGGCGGGATGGCCAGCCTTCAATCGACTCGTCACAACGATATTGACACCAGCCAGCTGCAACACGACGGGACTGTTGGTATCGGCAGGAATGAACGTCATCCACCACAGAGGCTGCCCAAATGATAAGATACATCATGTTTCGAGGTGGGGACCACCAAACACCGACACAGTCATCACCTCAAGCGGAAACAACCAAACCTAAACTTGCTGATGGATGTGTAAAGTAGTGCAAGCTGGCCTATGAGATGATTTCTCGCTCCTCGGACATTTGGAAATTGAACTTCCGACTGAAAGTGATCCTTCAGACGCACCTGTTTTTGAAGAACGGGGAGTCCTTTTGAGACCGTATTGTTGGTCTCTTAGAGGAACAATTATTATGTGAAGAAAGAGAAAAAAGACGATCTAATGGTAGGTACACCTTGACCTGTGGCTGGCAGTGTGTGAGGGCCTACGGACGGATGTCACCCACATCAGTCTCCAGATGATGCCCTACCCCTGGTGGGAATCTACACAAGCGGATCTACACCCAGGGGTCGTGTTTCCTCCGATTCTTCGTGGAGTGTCCACGAGACGCGAAAGCGAAGGCAACGCCGCCCTGGTAACTCGCTTCCTGGCCGCTAACCTCCCGCAAGGACGCCAAATATTTTTGGACATGCAAGCTGTGGATGAGAGAGAGATAGGGGCGGTAGGATTCTACCGCGGATTCAGCTTGGTGCCGCATGGGTTGGTGTATCGTGTCCTGCCGAGATTGACACTCCAGGAAAGTGAGAGTTGGCACGAGGGAGTTGTCAAGCAACTTCGAAGGTGAGGTTCTCCGGGATCAACTTAAGTCTTCCTGATTTGGAAATTGAGCACAGGATACCCTAATAGCCTTGACATTGTGATTTTTCAGCTCAACCTAGATTGGAGCAAACTCATTTATGCGGTGATGAATCCGCGAGCTTGTACGGTGTTGGAAGTTTCAAAACAATCCGCGTGGTGAGAGCGGGATTGTCCCGTTCCCCAGGGAGGGACAATCCCCAACAAGGTGGTGGTTCCACGTCCAACGAACAGCTTGCTGCTATCAATTCTTGTTTTTTACCGGATCCTTGGGACGTTCCTCCGTGACTTCTACCCAGCTTCAGAGAAACGAACTCATTTCTCGCACGTGTGCTTTGCGTGCGGCTTTTCATCTCTGTGCTTCCTGGCACTCGCTCTCGCCTGCTGCAGCCTCAGCGAGTGTATGCAGCCCGTTACAGTGAGCCGGTATCGTCCTGGCACATGGGAATTTTCGGCAGCAAGTGTGTACTGGGATGCTCACTATCAAGCCGGCCTCTTTTTCTTGTCTTACGCTATCGGGGCGTGGGATAACGCGCCCAGGGCAACGCAACGCCCGCATCTCCTCCCGGCTCTGAGGGATGTGAGTACAGTCAACTGTGTCTAGGACGATATTCGCCTCGTGTGCATTTCGATCGTCGATTATCTACAGAAAACGCATCGTCAAGCGGACCACTCCGTATTCAACTGTCGACAAGGTCCGTCTAAACTGTCTTCTCGACTATGGTGTTGCGGGATATCGGCTCAGGCGTCGGCGCTTCTTCAACGTACTCTGGAGGCTGCCGATGAGCATGGAACGTTCTCTTCCTCGAGGTCAGACCTGCTGAAGAACACTGCTTTGGCCAAGATCCGACTGCTCCAAGCTCTGCAGGCAGAAGCTGTGTCTAATCCCCTCAGCAAGAAGCACTCGTCATCGGTAGATTCCGTCTCGCACACGGAGGGACGGCACGCGGAAATAATGCTGGCGAAGGAGCACTGTCTCACGCTTATCCCGCGGTTCTTGTTAGAGGCCATCGATGACAAAGATGCTGAAGCTTTTGGGAAAGTGTACGTTAAGCTCAGGGAAACGAGTCACATGTAGGGATGCGGGTCTGTCCGGGAATCATGCAGACAATAATAGGAAGCGTGTTTGGAGACAAGCGTGTCGACGGGTAGAGGGAGGTCTGTGGCCGTACGAGACGCGGCTGTTGTTCGGCTTTGCACACGAGGTACCGGGGGCGGGTGATGGTGCTCGAAGGTCACCATCACACAACACTATTGTTGGGGGTAACACCTAATGTAGGTGCATGTTTCCCTGCATAAGAAAGGAAAAGTTTGAATGGGTGAACGCGCGCATGCACAATGTACACTTGCCGAAATCGGACTTTGATCAAACAGTATATCTCATTCAGGCGTGTTCCCAGTCCAATTAGACCTACTGAATCTACAGTAGGGCATTCGTCAAGCCATTGAACCCTAGTCGCTGCTTGAACTCCGACTTCATGATCTTGTCTTGCCAGCCTTCGATCTCGACGATTCCGAGCGCTCGTCGTCCTCCCCTTCGCCTGCCGTCCCACTGCTACCACTCCTCGCCGATCTTCTCGGGGTGGTACTGCCTTCGGTGTCTTCATCGGATGCTTCTGATGTTCCTCCGGACGTTCTCGCCGGCGATAAATCTCGGCCGTTCTGGGAACCTTGACCACTATCCTCGTCATCAGACTCTGACCCTGTACCATCGTCACTCGCCCTGCGATCCCGTGTTTCGCCAGAACGGTCGGAGCCCGACACCGACCCGCTCTCAGACGCGGCTTCCTCGTCGCTACCCCCTTCGCTATCTCGACTTCGGTCATCCTCCGCGCCTCGCTCGGAGCCGCTGCCATCGTCGTCCACCCCGCTGCTACCATCCTCTTCCGAGGCGTTGGACGCTGTTTCAGAGCCCCTCGAGGATGAGCCGTCCACGCCCCTGTCTCTAGCCTCGTCAGACTCCTGACCTGCAGAACCCTCTTCTTCTCGCCTCGAAGCCAGATCTCCCTGGTCCGCAGAGCTCTGACGGGAACGGCCTCCTTCGCTTTCACTATCACTTTCGCTTCCCCTGTCGCTACGACTGACTTCATTTTCCGACCCACTATCCTCGGCTTGACGTTTGCTTTGGCCCGCTGCTGCGTCCGCCCTCCGTCCGGTAGAACCTGAGCCATCCGATTTTGGTGAAATCGGTGGTGTGTAGCTGGCGGCCGATGTTGGCGACAACGGGGGGGTATAGCTCGCACGCGATGTCTGTGAGGAGGGTACCCTGTTGCGGATGTGTGCTGCTCCCGGCGACGAAGGCTCTTTGCTGCTGACCTGTCTTTCCTCATCTGGGGTTTCTGCTACTTGTCTCCTTCTACCGTCAACGTCCAAGCCCGAGGAAGCAGGCGCATCGTTCCCATCTGCCACCTCTGTCGCAAAGCGCGACCTGCTATCTCGACGCCTTGGTTGCTGTACTTCATCGCCCGCGCTTTTGACCCCTTCCTGGTCTTGATCAGCGACTCTGCGCGATCGACTGCGTTCATCCACCGCGTCTTGGCTATCATCATTCGTGCCCTCTTGGGATGAACTAGCGTCCCTTTGTGAGCTGGGCTGGGGAGAAGCGCTCGCTCCTCTTTCAGGGTCGACGGGAGTTCTGACTGCTGATCCCGCACTGAGAATCTCTTGCCTGAGGGCATCCATCTCCACAATTCCTTCTTCCAACCGCTGCTTCAGCTGGACCAGCTCCTTCTCAATGTCGCTTACCCGGGTATTTAAGTTTGATGCGTCAGCGTTGCTGTTGGTATCTTCGTCATCATCTTTTGCATCGGATTCATCTTGTCTACTGGATGAAGAGGATTGGGTGGAGCTCTTCTCGTCGGCTTCGAGCTCGTCGTTCATGGCGGCGAAGTCCATCGCCTGAAGGCACAGATGAGCGCGCCAGTATGACATAAGAACAAGGTAATTGGTACCGCCAACGCTGTGTATCACCGCCATGCCTGTTGGTGCCCAGTTGCTCTACTTCCAAGGAGTGTTAGGGCCAATGATACTTTTTTGAAGGTCAAATAGGTACAACGCATGTTCTAATTGATTCAAAATCATTGTCTGCAAGTGAACGAAAAGCGATAGCCAACCATGGTCGCCAATATTGTGGAAAGCTTCCCTTGCTCACCGATTCCGTCAACTGTCATGGACGTCGAAATATCATGTTTCTCGGCTGACATGGTCTGGAACATGTAAACAGACCTTTGCTTGGAGCCAAAGGAAACTTTGACGCTCTGTGTCACCGGGCATTCTCGAGATGCAAACCCTACCTTCTTCGTCAACCCTTTCTTGCCCAGCTGCCCTTGAGCCTTCGCTGCCCCTTCGACGTCTAATGGTTCCGTGCCACGGAGATTATTTACTTCAATATCATTCCTGGTAACGCTGCTGCTGGTATCCTCGGAGGTGTGCTTAGCTTTGGCTTCGAGCGCGGCAGAGGCATCGGCCTTCGCAATTGCTGCGGCTGACTCTGCCGCCTGCGTCAAAAACATCGAATAAAACGGATCGTTATACAGAATGAAGTTGTTTTGGTCATGGAAGACTGTGAAAGTCGCTCAGCCATATGCTAGGCTGGTGTTCTGTTTTGCGAACGAAAATAGGTATCACGTTGTGCGAAGGTGAACCCGGGCATGTATGGAGTTTGGAAACTCGTGGATGTGTATGAAGGATTCTCCCATTTAATCGATCCCACAGCCGTACCTCGGCCATGGTCCTAAGTTCTTCAATGCGCGCCATCAGTTTTACTTCGAGGCTGTCCACGCCCGTCTGCCATGCCCTGGCAACACCTATGTCGGCCTTCAAGCTTGCAACAACGGCGTTTGTCTTCGCCAGCTCCGCCTTCAGGCTCGCCTCGCTTTCCATTGCACCAGCCTTGTGCATCTCCTCCAGTCGCACTACTTCCAAAGAGCTCTGCTCTAGCCTTTGCGTTGATGCCTTGTCCGCAACTGAACACACCATCGACGAAACCGCTAGCTTGACTTCCAGCTCTTCCTTGAGTTCCCTCTCGGCCTGTGTTATTTAGCAAGGCGTCATATTTACCACCTGGCAACCTAAAGCACTACACGAACCTTTCGCCACCACATCAGTCGATTTTCATCTGAATTTCATTCCGATCATGTTCGACTAAACGTTGATTCAAAATCACTTCGCCGGTGTTGTGGGTGTGAGAAGGTTCACCCGAGCCAGTCCTCGAGAACCCGAAGCGCAGTCACACACAATCATCGCGAGAAATCGACCAGCGAGGTGGCGCTGCCGCAACAGTAAACGGTTCTCATTGCTGTGTATCGATTAAAAGTATTCTCTGTGCACGAGATGAGTCCATGCTTTTGTTTTCGAAACATGTCCATTATCTGGTAAAGGTACACAGGTGTCTGCAGGCGCATAGATCAAGCCTCCACGTCGACCAGATCAGACAGCAAGGGCTATACAGCAAGCGCCATACATAGTAGTCACGTACCTGGCGGACCCGCCGCTCGACCTCACCGATCCGCGCCCCAGTTTCTCTCGTCAGCTCGTTCACTCGCCGTTTTTTCGCCGATCCGTTGTCGATCTCGGTGAGCCTTTCTTCCAGCCCCGACGCTCGCTCGTCAAGCACCTCCTCCAACGCCAGGTTCCTATCGCGAGATTCCACCCTCAAGAGATCCAGCTCCTTCGACACGGCCTTCACCGCTTCGTCGAGTAGGGTGCGGATCATCCCGCTCTGCGCTTGAGTGCGCTCCAAGGACTCTTCCATTGCCGCGTGTTCTTTTCGCAGCTGGTCTTCTGCCCACAGCCGCGTGCGCGAGTACGAAGCTTCTGTTGCCCTTGATAAGTCTCGGTGTAGGTCCCGCACTCCGTCAATACGAGCGGTCTCCTCGGCTGTTATTTTCTCTCGAAGTATCTGTCGGCAGTAGAGCCAAGCACCACGGAAGATAATAAGGGTTGTGGTTGTAGTGTCAGACGGCGTGTACGAGAAGAGTGTCGCGGAGACGATAGTCAGAGGCTAAGTTTTGCGCTTCGAGCATGCGTGTCTTCTCGAACGCAGTTGAAGGAAGCATGATGGTGACAGTTACGGCACAAGGTGCCCACAAACCGCAGTTTGAAACCGGTCGACTATCTTCTTGTGGGTGGGGCGGCCCACAATGCTAGTGCCAACACGCCCACTAACACAACGTGGAGAATCAGGAGGACGTATGTCGGCATCTTGTCGAAATAAAATCTAAGTTCCACGCTCATCATCGAACGAGACTCCTGTTGTGATTCTCGTCGAACTAATGAGTCTGCTCAACTCGGCCCAGCGTGCACCATTTTTCAAAATCAACGTTTTATTGTCACTTGAATGCGTAGCCGTTGATCTCACACTGGTCTCCGTTGCGACCCTGTCGGCGCTTTGACGTACTCTCGACACCTCCCGATTGACCTGTTTGTGTAATTCAAAAGCTATTAGCGGTTTACCATCAAGCCCACAGATGAGTAAGCATTCAGAGTGCATGCGTGCACCTCCGGCCCCGCCCGTGTTGCGGCCTCACAAATTTGACTTTGATTTCGTCCAAAGCTGTCACGTGGCATCCGTAACCCGCAAACTACTCCGTTTTGGACTTCTGGTAGACAACACCCCTTCGCATCTTTGGAACGACTCTGCCATTTTAGACCGGGTGGGTTCTGGTCGTATTTGACGGCCGCAGAAGCGACGCGTTCACCTGCTCTTGGGCTTGGTGGAGTAGATAATTAACCCTCTCCGACTCCTCCTGAGCATCCGCCAGCTCCGTCCTCAAGCTACCCTCCAAACGCTTCACCTCCGCATGGATCTCGTCGGAACGTCTTTTGTTCGTTCGGTGGCCGGTCTCGAAGGCTTCCTTGAGGATGTCCCCTTGCTCTGTCATGGCTAGCTCTATCGCCTCTATCCGTGCCATCTCCGACGACTCGACACTGGCTATCTTGTCGGCGAACTGCTTGGCTTGTTCCTGACGCTTTGACTCCGTTGCTGCAAGACCGTTTCGAGCTCTCTCTTCCGCCTCTCGCAACTGCGTGCCACACAGGAGAAGGGGGCATCCTATATAACTCTGTGGCTGACAACCTATGCCAGCCTGGTAGAGCCTACCGTGACGAAGACCAGAAGAAAGAATTACGCATTCTACACAAATACTGTGCTGCGCTCAGGCTCAAACGAGTGGAAGACAAAGGCAAGGGTATTCTTGCCTTCCCGAAGATTTATTTCCCGTCGTAGACGTTGGACTCAGCGCGAACCTTGTAGTTTAGAGCATAGGGCAACAAATAAAATGCCCCGTGAAGGGCCAACCGAATGAATCAAGATCTGGAAACGATGTATTTCTTCAGACGTCGATCCTCGGCCTCAATAACCGGCTCCACTTCCTTGTATGGAGCGAAGAACATCGGCGTCGATACGTCCCGTTCCAGCGTACACTCGCTCACCAGGTCTTTGTTTATGGTGATAACCCCTTCGAGCTCGTCCACTCTTGCGGTCACTCTAGCGATATTCCGATCTCCATCAGAGACCTGTTGGGCCATTTGCATCCTTATCCCTGAGAGGTGAGTAACGAGCACGGACGTCCGTGAAACCATCTCACTTCAGATCGATCCCACGACATTCCCAGTGGAGATTTAATACAAACCGAAAAGAAAACGTCCGTTGCAGCCCGGTCCATCATGGTCGTCATCGGAGGGATTGCATTTCGAAAATATGTACCGGAGGGCTGGAGGCGGGAGACACAATGGTCCAGACTTGGCGGAAGATGCCCCTCCACCGAGGCTTAGATTTTCCCGCTGACTTATAGACAAGGACACCCAAGACAACGAATCTCGCGAGAAATTACGCTGGTCAGATCAACGATAGAGGTGAAACGGAAGGCGCACACCGTTTCAAACCACTAATGTTCCTTGTGGGAAAAATAATCTGGCCGAAAAGATACGACACACTCGCCTACAAAAGTGTTGCACCACAACCACACGCGACACATGATAATTTTGTCGTCGTTATTCCTTGAGAGGAGATCTACTCGCCTGCCAAGCTCTCTTCGAGCTTTCCAACAGCACGGGAGTTGCGCTCTTGGGATGCAGCGAGCTGGGTCTGTGTCTGCGCGTTCACGATCATGTCGTGGAAAATGTACAAGGCAGCAGCACCCAAACGAGAACGAGGGAGATGAGCAACAGAGGGGCATCGAGGACTCCAAATTGGCAGATAGTCTGGTCTTAACGACATTGGCTGAGTAGCAAAGAGGGAGCTGGAACACTGGTGATGTGGGCGGGAAGCTTCCGAAAACGGACACCCATAAGGCATGGAGTTCGACACTCTATCCCCTGATGATTGCCTCCGATACAGGAGGGAATATCCCGCACTTCTCCGTGCTGATAGTTACACCAAGTGCAACAAACCTCAAGCATAAGATTCCCATGAACCATGTTGCGACAGTCGCACAACGGTGACAACAACCGAAGTTCACCTGCGATGAGATATCTTCCTGAGCGGTCTTAATATCTCGTGTCAAGCGGGCGACCAGCTCCTCGAGCTCTAGACACCGTGCACGCAATCCTGACGCTGCCTGAACTGCGCTCTCCCGCCCTCCCTCCTTCGTTGCCGCCTGTGCCTCGGCTAGTCGAACGGCGTTTCGCCTTCTGGCGGTTATCTCAGCCGATAGAGCATCCTTTCGGCGACGGGTGAGAACGTGGAGTCGGTAAGACTGCATGACTTCTTTGGCACAGCGGCTCCCGCTTCTAGTCTAGTTTTTACCATCTATCTGGTATGCTAAAAAATATTCAACTTGGGCGTGGATGTTGAGACCGAAAGCGAAGGAATTTTGTTTCGTCGTGGATATCCCTGTTGTAGAACGATGCCATGTGCTGTGGAGGCCTGCCGTAGTTGACGTGACGATACGAAGACAGGACTCTATAGTCAGCCGTGAGAGACTTACATAAGTCAGATGCGCTCGTGTATCTCCCGACTATTGGAGGTGTACCCTCTTGATCACGGAATACTTTTCTGCCGGGGTCGATCTCTCAAATATTATCACCGTCGACCCCACCAGCTCTCCTCTACTGAGTCTATGTAGCACATAGATCAACGAGAATGGGCCTTGTCGGCCACTTCCTGGGCCCTGGTCGCGTACTACTTCTCCCCGCATTCCAGGAATGGTTCATATTCACCTGGAGCTCCGTCAGTTGACTCTGGGTTGCAGCCTGCGCTTCCTTTGTGCTTACAGATAAGGCCTTCAACCCAGCGGCGATTGGACCGGTATCGATTCGACCCTCTAGCCGTGTCACCTGGTGAAGACAAGGGCATTGCGTACTGTGAAGTCACGGCGGCGCAGATAACCTTGATTGACCTGTTAGGCGAGCTTCGACGGTCATCATGCCGGCTAAGTTGTTCGTACCGTACGGCCAGAGGATCTCTGTATTGTCGAAGGACCGTAGAATATCACCTACCAAATCATATCATCAAACGAGAAACGCATTCCAACTGCCGGGGAGCGGATGTCCATTGGCGCTCAATCGTACCTCAGTGTGTACACCGGAAAGTTCGTCTTCCATGGCCCTGAAACTTTTGTCTACCATGTTGTTCAGTCGCTCCTCTGTATGCTCCACTCGACCTCGTAGGGCTGCCATCAACTGTGGCACGTTGGTACTTTCCACAGCTCGCTTTGCTGTGTCTCCCATCATACCGGACAGCTGCGCCATGACACCAAGAGAAGGGAGTTTTTCAACCAAAGCTGATATACTGGCGGCATCTGAGTTTTGAAATTTTGAAAAACTCGGTTGTCATCACGTGATCGCCTGTGGTTGGCCCTATCTCTGCGAGTGTTTGGTTCAAGACGGGGTTGAAGGCGCGCAATCCTCCACACTGTTGTTGGGCCCACACAGCGATTCATCGTGCACGTTGAGCGAAAGAGATGGAGGTATGGCCGCAGCTCAACCAACCCGCCGATGTGTGTGCTCTGCTCTTACCTCATCTGCGAGGGACGACCTCAAAAGCTCTAGCTTGACGCTCGTAGCGGCCATCAACGACTCCTGCATAGGGTCACAGAAATCCGAAAGTGCAGCCACGGTAGCGTCTTATCGTTATTCCTCGGTCTCACTTGGAGTATTCGGGGCATGGGATACGCAACTCAAGACACATCCACACGAACATCGTTCGGGATGAACACGTGACGTGTTGCCTCTCGAATGCATGTCATGTAGATCATATGGTTCGTCGTGGGCTTCCGATCCACTTTGTCACCCTGCACTAAGGTGCACTTTTCTCGGGGTAGGAGGGGTTGTTCCAAATTTCGAAAGCACCGTAAAAAGCCCTGTCTCCAGGCGCAGAAATGTAAAGAACGTTTCTTTTAAATGCATTATTCCTCGACTTTTTGTTTCGAAATAACCAGAAATGTTCGGTCATAATCTGCTGGAGGGTCTACTTTTCAGAGAAAAAATCTGAGACCGGATTTCGATAGCTCTTGGAACTTGCCAGATTGATTAACTTTCCGACTTAAAAAATATAAAGAAACGACGAAGTTATACCTCGTAAATCGATTCTGGTAGGGCATTTTGTTCACAATCGTTTGCGAGAACCAACTTCACGATTTGAAAATTAAGTGCGGCTAACGATTCCTCTCGAAATTCCGCGGATGGATTTTCTTTCGGATTTTCATAAAAACAATATTTCATGAGATATCCATAATTTGCATGCCGCTGTGAGACGAAAAGTTCGCACTCGCATACACCACACATAACATTCCACAAGCAGCACACAACCGGCCACACACAAGCCCCACACATGGGGCGACCCAAGAAAAAAGCGACAAAGAGGAAGCGGAACGAGGATGGGACCATCGCGCGACTTGCTCAGGCAGCAGCACCACCACCAGCAGCACCACTCGTTGGTTCTGACCATGAACCAGATGGTTTTCCCATGGGTGTTGTCGAGGATGACAGTCCCCGTGACGAGGACTGGCGCAGCGAGGACTCTGGTGATGCCTCACGCGGAGGCCAGGCCACGCTACGACATACATGCATATGAGTGTACACAAAGCAGATACAATTGGTGCAGAGCGAGAAAGCCCTGGGAGTTTCCGTGGTATGATTAGGGGGTTCCGTGGTACGTTCAGGGGGGTTCGTGGTACGTTTAGGGAGTTTCGTTCTATGAGTAGGGGGTTCCGTGGTATGGTGGGAGAGTTCCGTGGTGTGATTAGGGGGCACCGTGGTAAGTTGAAGGGTTCCGTGGATCATTTTGGCCAAAAATGTTGCATTTTCTTAAAAATATAAAAACTCTGCAGCTATCGACGTAGCTCGACGAGGCGATCACGAATATCGTTGTTTCACGTCCCAACTTTTTTTTTAAGAAAGTTATCGCACAAAACGTGAATGGAAAAATTGTCCCGGACGGACCATAGACTAGTCATTAATACGTTCATGCGCCGCCCATCCCTCACCTGAAGTTGCTGTTTCGACACGTTCTCTTCTTTTATCGCGTTCCCAACAGAGTGTTGATCTTGCTGCCGTTTTTCAAGCGCCTGATGCGCCTGAAGGAGCGAGTTCATCTTACTGTCCGACCGAGACACTGCTGCGCTCAATGCACAGACTTTCTCGCGCAACTGCTCCGTCCCATCTGTTGCTTTTCTTGCTTCTGCTGCCACCGAAAGTTGCTCGCGTTGCCGGCTTTCGATCTGCCGCAACGATTCCAAAAGCGAGCTCATTTTCCTTTCCGATCCAGCAACGTCATCGTCCAACGCCTGGACCTGGGCTACCAGCTGCTTGGTCGCTTCTCTCGCACTCTTCGCTTCTCCCTTGAACACAGCCTTCGTTGTGCCGTAACACGAAGGAATAAGTGCTGCTGTGGTATCCTCGCGTGTACTGTTGTTCGCTCACAAAACGGCACATTGAGAACGCATGCTCCCACAATGCTTCGCAGAGAATGATACGGCAAGTTGCTGTGCGTCGTGAAAACTGTTCTTCCCCCGCACTGTCTGGCTCCTGTGAGAATATATTGCTATCATCCACTTCATCAGCCAACTGCGTATTGTTGTGCGGTAAGCTCTGCACCAGTGAACTCAGGCGGTCAAAACTCCACATAAACCCGAACACCTACTTGACATCCCGATGCGCCTTTTAAACCTCACCTCAAACTTCGCTACTCGTTGGAGAGTGCCGTTATCCTCAGATTCTAGCTTACGGGCAAGGTTCTCCACCTCACCAGACACACGTTCGACCGCTTGGCGAAACCGAGACGATCTGGTCTCATCGGCCTGTATTCTGGTGCGTGCCTCCTCCTCAAGAGCCTTGACCTGCTGCTGGGTCATCTCTTGCACCTGAAGAAACGATACAGCAGTAGGGGTGCCAAAGGAGGATGCGTGTGAGGAAGCCGCGCGGACTTCCCCAAGCGTTGTAGCGCTAAGTGATCGAATCCTCTTGTCGACGATAGATCCACCCCACAACAGGTCTTCCTTCACGGCTACGAACTGGCTGGCGTACGCTCTTGGTGGCCTGTATCGCGTTCTTCGGGGAAGTCCGAAGACCCTACAAGTAGCGGCCCCCGTGTCCATTGACCCAGGATAGGCTGCATGTTGTTTACCGGAGGATGTGCTTGGTAGTTTTGCTAGCGACCTTCACCTTCGGAGCGAGGGACAGGGTGGCATCTACGCGATGTTGCCATTCTCGCATGCGAGCCAGCTCCGTATCAAGACTCCGCGTTTGTTCTCTAACCTGGACGAAACACATTCAAGCAGCAGCACCCTCTCGGCTTAGGCAACAAGGCCGTACGAGTTGCAGGTTTGGCCGTGACAAATTGAACCCTGACAATACGTCGGATTGTAGGCTCGCCCCCTCCAGAAATGTTGCCTACTCTATGCACACACACGATGCCGCATCTACCGGAGGCATGAGATAGATACAGACGGAGATTTCCCTGCAGTCAATCTATTTTCGCCTGACCGTGTTACCTTGGTAACGACCTCGTCCCTGGCGCCAAGCGACTTCAAGCTGGCCGTAGAGTCCGATATCCAGTTCTCCAGCTGTGTTTAAGAGAGTTGTCATACAGTTGGCAATCAGGTGTTGGTGTACCTCGGCGGCTCTAACAAGCCGGACGCTTTCGTGGCAACCGGGAATGTATTGAAGACAGATTTGTACTCGTGGAGCATGCCGCTCTAGACTACAGACTATACCTGATGAAAGTACAGTAGATATCTTCCGTCTACTCTTGCCCAGCATCACCATTCTGCTACATGAGCAAAGCTCAATGAAACTTACCCTTTGACCAAGGGCTGCTAGATTCCGCTCGACGAGGTGTCTCCGCTGAACCTCTTCCTCGAGTCTTTGCTCTATGCGGTTGAAGTGCTCCTCACGGATAGCGACTTCCGCCCGATGATCCGTCCCTCTCACTCTGCCCCCGCTACCATCGCCCACCACCGGACCCTTCCCATTCGGCAGTGCAAAGTTTGTGGAAGAATCCGTGCCGTAGGTTTCGGGGCTAGGCTGGTACTTCAACCTCGCAGAAAGCGGGAGGACCGGGAGCCTGGGGTTGCCTGCGGGGTCTGTCCGGTCATCCTCTGGAGCGGACTTCCTACTGCGAGCCTCGACTTGAGCGTCTAGAAACGCATGATAGTCCCTCTGCCGTCGACGGCGCTCTTCGCCGCTTTCCTCGGGCTCGAATTGCATCGCTAGCCCTCATTTACCAGCAAGAGGCAAACGCACGGGCTTGCACGAAGTCGGCAGCAGTCGACGCAAGCTGTACGAAAGACTCGATCGGGCAAAATTCAGAACATGACCCCCTGCCACCAGTCGTGAAATATCTCACGGATGCGCTCTTTGCCAGTCAGTTTCGACTACCGTACAATACGCAGACATTCCGTAAAAACCTGTGTGTACGCGGATGGGAAACGTCGATCGACGTCGGCGGTCGATGGACAACAAACTTTCAAAAAATCATATTGTAACTGCCGGAAAGCCTCCTTGGCGTGGACCACCTGGGTGTCAAGGGGCTCCGTCGAAAGAGCAAGACCCTTCGTCCGCTCGACCTTTTACGTGCATTCTCGACGCACGCTACACTCCAAGGCAGCCCTCCGTGGTTGCTTGATCGGCTGGCTGGACCATGATCTGCATCGGACCTTGCTGCATCCCTGTCTCGGCGCTCTTTCCTCTTCTCCTACTCCTGCTGAAGCCTGTGCTCAACGTCCTCCGAAAGACGCCGCTAGGTAATGAACGTCCCCCGCGACAAGCGGAGTTTTTACGCTTTTACCCTAAGTACTGCTGCTGTAGGCTCTCGCGATAGCAGCAGAATTCGTCTCGGGGGGCATTACACTATTGTCTCTACTAGATCGGGAGGTGGAATAGCTTGTTGTTGAAAAACGTACCTGCAGTAGGCTCGTGCGTTGCTACCATTGGCCCGTTTACTACACAGCAGTATTACAATATATTGATTGAGGTGTGGGGGGCGCCAATCAATGTGATGGACTCCGAAAAAAAAATATGTCTTGGAAAAAAAGGACATCTCCACACAGACTCGAACCCAAGATTTCGAGAGTCAGGGTGGCCTTCACCGAGTTCACGAAGTGAATTGACTTTTTTACAATGTCGTTGCCAAGCGACGAAAACCCAATCCCGATGGCAAACACCCAGG